TGGTAATATGATTTAAATACCACTGGCGTTTCTGGAACTACGAACATATGCCGAACGCCTGTCATCGGTATTGTTGCCTTAATCCGCATCTGAATTTATTTTAACCGCAATGCTACCACTTCTTGAGCTGCTGATACCAGTTGAACATACACCCTTCAGGTAGCGTAGCACGCGAATAGCAACATTTTCAGTGTTGAAATCCGGGTTTCTCCAAGAAACGCGACAGCTGTTATCACGTATGCCGCATCCGCTTAAGTGTATGTCATAACGTACAGCAGCCATTTAATCAAAAGCCAATACGGCTTCGAGTGCATAACCAGTCGATCCACTTCTGTTGTAGGCGACTGCGCTGACGACAACTTCAACCCTGATGCATATGCATTGTCGACACCCTTCGAATCTTCTTGACCAAATCGACTGACCACGTCGTCAATGTAACTAGTCTGTATGATCGTAAGTGTCATGCTGACCTTTCGTGGTCAATCTCCGTACCCAAAATGAACTCCGCCCTGTCCAGCTTCTTTATCTTCAATGAATGTTTGCGCACTTCCTTGACCGATTGATTTATCTAATGATGCTGCAACAATCATGTGATCCACATATAAACCAACATTGATAAAAACTTTCAAGGATCGATTGAAATTAATTCACTGGTCCTAACCGCGGAAGTTGAAGCCATTCTCACAGAGGGCCGGTGTGTTTTCTTGTTACGGGTACTTACTGCTTCTTTCAAAATAAATAGCTGACATGCTTCTTCCTGAGCACTGTCAGCACCCTGCCGGAATTTCTTATAACTTTGTCTGCCGGCACACTATTGAGAAAAGCAGTATCGGCATCCAGTGATTCAATTTTGAAGTTGCATTCGGGACGTATTGCAAGTATCATTCGAATAGTTTTCATGTTGGCGATCTGTAATTAGTCTTGATAAAATCAATCACATTCTTTTGCTGGAGAGCCATCGCTACAAGTCGTGCTCTGCACCATTTGACAGTGCCATATTGATTACGCTTTTTGGCAAGACCCACTGTGATCCAATTGTGCGATTGAATCATCTTCACTTTATCACCATGTACGCAAGGACAGCATCAGCAGTGGATCACTGCCCGTGAGTCTAAGTACGTTTCGTGGTCAAAGGGTCATCATCTCCATCTGTTATCTCTTCATCATCTGAGCCGTTCCTTAGCGTCATCATCTACTCCTGTTTACATCTCCTTCGCCCCACTGCAGGCCGAAACATCAACAAAATTTTCGGTGCGTGTGAAGCGATGGACGATTCTCGATAATCTTTTACCTATTTTAAACAGAAATCTCGGAAGGCATCAGCTGCTGCTTGTTGGCACCTGGCGTAGGATCAACATCGTCCATTTCGATGCCTCTTACTAGGGCTTCGCGGAATTCCATAGGCTCATTCCGAACAAGCTAATGATTCACTTGGTTTTGAACATAACCATCATCAATGTCCTTTATAAATTGAATGCTTGTATCTGGCTGTAGAGTATGCGAATCGAAAACGTCGTCTATTTCACGCTCATCCAATCCCACAAAACGGAGCTCTAGAATCTTGACATCCTCCAAGTCAAACACGCGATAAATCTTGACACATTTGCATAAATGAGAAAAATACATATGAAGTTCTTGGGCTTAAGCTTTAATTTTTCATCGTCAACACGAGCGTAACACTGCTCCCAAATATGCAAAATTTATCCACGCGAGGATTCACCTGAAAGACAATTTTTATGGCTTGACGTCGGGCAGACCGTTTTTGAAGAGCTATTACTCGTATATACTGCTGTGTTCGCCTTTTCCGCCAACCATTTCGTCGACACACTTTTGTAGTCAAGCGTACAGCAGGTTCTCTCCATAATATCTTTCTTTACGCGCTTAACTATTCTATTTTGCCGAGGGCTGTATGGCACGGGATGTTGGTGGACGATGTCAATCTGCCGACAAATGTCTACCACTTCTTGCCCATAATTCTGTTCCATTGTTGGTCCAGGTTCTTTAGTATTGCTTTTTGTACATTGTATCAGATCATGATAAATAAACCACAAAAGTATATTTGTATTTTGCATATTCTGTGGAAAAGGTTTGTACTGGACCCATGATATCTGTGATTACGCGCATCAGAGCACGTGTCGTCTACGTCATTTGATTCAAGGGAGCTATCGTGAATGTCTGCATACCCTTCAGACACCCGGCACACAATGTTCATATGTATTGCTTAATCATCGGTATGCATTTAATCAAGCGCTGTGAGTTGAGCCACATTCGGGTGTCCCATGCGAGCATGCAAAAGCTCCCGCTCAGTGTTAGCCCTGAAATACACCATGAACATGCTTATTCTTCTCCTTCTTTTTCTTAGTCGAGCATGTACCCTTTTTTGAAGCTTTCACTTAGTTCAATCGCCTTACTCTGTTCCGATGACACGAAGAATGCGTGATTTCTACACTCATGTCGGGTTTCGCAAGCTTGTCTAATGAAACAATCGTCTGCCAAGTCCTGGAATATACAAAACATTAATCATGCGATGTCCCTCCAACCCAAACCGGTCAATTTCATTGTGACATTTTCTTGGCGAGTGAGGTTTTGCTTTCTGCAATTGCAACTTTGATGTTTGTTCAAATATCTCTTCTCTTCTTGTATTCGAACAAGGTGTTCATGTGTGTGAGCTGCGGTACCGCTGTAGAAAATTCACCCTGCTGATCGTCCTTATCCCGCTGCAAATACTGCGTCATCACTGTTTGAACGTTTTCCAATCGGTTAGTTTCACTTCATGTTGCCAACTTGGTCACATCAAAGCACTTGCCCTTTTATCCGCCTTGCGTGCGGCGCCACCTTTTCGAACGTTGCCTTGTCCTGATTTTTCTCCCCCAGCATTCATATTGATATAGTCTTTCTCCGTAATCTGCTTTTTGTGCAGCTTCTACTGCAATGTTATTCGCATTTCCTACAATTGATAGAACTTATTCATATTTGACGTCAGAGGACGGAGAAGTAATACCAGCTGGTGCAACAACTCCTCTGACTCTCCAGTTGTCTGGTCAAAAAAGTTTTGATATTTCTCCATTCAAGTACCACGTTTCCGTCTCGAAGTCATGACGTCGTCATGAAGATGTCAAACGATTGCGCAATGTCAACTATCCTTACCTAAATTTGACGTAGAATCTCAACGCCTTGTGTGATGATTCTAAATTCCTCGGTATCGTGCATATATCATGTACATTTGATATCGTTCTCATCACTGACGGTGTAACGGGGTTCCTTGTACCCTGGGTAACAGGGGAGGTGTCACACGTGATGGGCATGGTGTGACTGAACCCAAACAAGAATACGGTGTATGGCTAGGTGACCTGTAGTTATGGATGTATTCAGATTTTACTATATATTTAGGAAATCTAAACATTCTAGATTAGGCGGCTTCGCCGCAAATAAAAATGAATGGAAGTCTTCCGTGTGTATCCGTCTTTGCTTGAAGAGGTGGTGAATGTGGCATTGAATGCCAAATG